GCTTTCTAAATACGTAGCGGTCGACCACCAGTACTGGGACGTTCATTTGCCATTTGTGACGTTCGCATATAACTCGTCACGTCATGACACTACCGGCTATTCGCCATTCTATCTTTTATACGGCAGAGACCCGCCCTACCCTTTGACACCTTGCTGCCCTCGGTCACTGAGTATGCAGGCGAAGCCATCGTGCGAGCCAACCACGCACGCCAACTCACCCGCAGCCGTCTGCAGGCTTCACAGGAGCACGAAGGACAGCTCCACGATTCCCATAATCGAAACGTGCACTTTTCACCGGGTTCCCTTGTCCTCCTCTGGTCCCCCACTCGGCGTATAGGTATTTCTGAAAAACTGCTGTCACGCTACACTGGATTATACCGCGTCGTTTGCCAGGTGACTGGCGTTACATACGAGATCGTTCTAGCAAATCCAACGTCCTCATCCTCACCTTCGAATGACATCGTGCACATAGCTCGACTCAAGCCTTATCACCCTCCTTGTACCGCATCGGAGTTGCTGAAGCACCGAGACGTTGCTTTTACCATCGGGGGGTTATGATACACAACAGCCGGCACAGCCTTGCGGCAAGAAAGAGAAACACGACGTTAGTTGCTGGTTGTTGATGAACTGTCGCCATCTTGTTCGCCGAGCACGGTTCATCGTATATATAGTTTTGAATAAGTTGCTCGTAAAAATATTAAGGTTGTACTGCCGAGCACGCTTTTCCAGTGTTTTCTTGATGGCCGTCGCTTCCGAATAAAACTCTGCAACTGTGCTTGGGGGGTTGCAGACGAGAATGGCGAACAGCTATTCCTTCTCTCCGCGCATTAGATGGCGCACCTTTTTATCCTAAGCCATGTTTTAATCCACACGCTTGAACAGACGGACCATGTTCTCACTGTACATAGCAGCACACTCGTTTGTGAGCTGGTTCCTTGATCGGAGATCAGCCTTTGCCTTTTCCTTCCGGTCTATGTTCGCGAACATAGTCATCGCTGGTCGTCGAAGTACCTCCCAGGTAGACAACGAGGTTTCATGGTTCTGAAACCACGTCTTTGCGAAGTCTTCCAGGGCAAAGTATACGCGACGGGGCTTCACTCTTTCGTCCCATTCATTCAAGCTCACCACGCTCTCGAACAGGTCCAACCATTCTTCCACTTCCTCGTACGAGTCGCCGTGGAATACTGGCGGCTGGTGTGGTTGGCTGGTGAACATGTGCTGGTGTTAACTTGCTAGTCACAGTGATGGTGTCCATTGTTTGAATTACCCTTGGTGTGAAGTGAAGACGACTGAACTCACGTGAGTCACCTCAAAGATGGCGACTTGCCCTCTGCTGTACAGGAGTCGCTTCCACTGGTCGTCGGGGCTACGCTGTCTTGAGCTCGCGGGGCTTCGATTCATTACCCATCGCCTCCACCAGATTTGTAGCAATGCTGAGGCAAACAGGCTAAAAAAACAAGCGTCTTAATTAGGGCGAACTTGTGCCCACGAGTCTAATGACTATGGTCATAGAAGTACGAGTAGTCGAGTTGCACAGATCCAACTGTCTTCCTCTTCCTCGTAGTCCGAGCGCACGAACGCGTGGTGCATGCCAGCCGGGCCTTGCCTGGTGCTCGTGTCACGATGACTGCGGCGGACTATTTGCAAGTGGCCAACTTGTCGCGGCAATATCGCGTCTGCTGCATCTCCTCATACTTCTGCATTCAGTGACATTCGCCTTCACGCACAGTTTTCAGTGCAGACCATAGTATGACTTGTGAAAACTGCAGCCTTCGTCTGTTTCATTGAGTGATAAAGGTCTCAACACAGATACACATAATCATTAGCGCTCTCCTTTGTCTCTGCTGCACTGTTCTCCACATCACTGACGGCCACCACAATAATAGTTTGTCCTCTGACTCGAAAAACTAATTGCCCCTCACGGAATCAGCGCCTCCTTCACCACTTTTCGCTAACCCCTGGTAATTGATTTATTTCAACGGATGTTTTCATATATAATGTACACATCATCGCTGCAACAGAGTGACATCTTAAATTTATGATTTCCCAAGGAAGTTAATTATGAGAAGTATGCGAAGTGCATCTGTTGACTTGTGTATAGCGCCACACTGCAACTGAAATAAAGGAGCAAGTCATACAAGTGTGGTGTCATTGCGACCCTAAAAGTCTTATCGGACATAAAGAAATACCAGCAATATATTGAATTATTCCGATAATACCACCATCAATGAATATCGTCGCCATCAGTCATCGTTACCTTTCCTGTTAAGAAGCACTCCTAAGTATTAGACTGCGAGGAGGGTGTAATATGTGTTAGCCTTTTTCGTCTAGTAAACAGCTGATTTCTTGTACGAAAGTTTTTTTAGATGCACGCAGATGTCCGTAATGGTAGTGCTATAGCAATGGTGCTAGGCTGCTGAAGTAAAGTTTGTAAATTCGATCCTGGCCGTGGTGACCCCATTTGATTCAGGCGAAATATTAAGGAAGCGTACACTGCTCAATGTCACTCCACGCTAGATAACACCAAGAAGGTAAAAATTTTCATAGCCCTTTATTTAGGGTGTCCCTCAGGATTCCACAATGGTTTTGAAACGTTATGCTCCAAAAAATATAACTACACACATAGAGAAGCCAGTCAATTTTAAGTATTCAAAGCAATTCTTCATTAAGCCCAAAATCTGTATCTGTAGGGTGTCGCTTTCAGGCTATATAAAAAATTCTTGTGCATTTTCTATGTGCCTAAACACTTCGACCACTACAGATACTTAGGAATAGCCGCTGAGCCGCTGTTTTTTTCTGCGTAGCAGAACATAAATTTGTTGAAACAGCGTAATGTATATCTGTACAGCCATCAGGCTGACTCATCGGCAGTTAAAGTGACATTCCCAAACTCACTCTCAGCCATCTTATTCCATTCGTGAGGTTTCACTGCAATATGCGAAAGTGGTGGTTTTGGGACGTTACACCCCACATATCATTCAATCAATCAGTTTGCGAATGACGCCACCCTGAATTGCAAAGAGAAGTACGCGAAGACTTTAAAAGTTGTCGAGAACAGTTCAATTCGGCTTAAAAGTGAGGCAATAACAATTTCGCTATCCTCAACAAAAACGAATCACGTTGTCGTAATTCACAATGTCATTGCTTTGTCATTCAAGGCCTCTTGATTTCACTCTAAAGAGGCAATGAATGCAGTATAGTGCTTTCTTTCCAAAATAATAACCAAATATTACTACTTTGCATTCTGCACCACAGAATGAGTCCGGAACGAGCACACGTCCACCTTCTCACCTTTTTTTTTTGAAGAACGTCACTAAATTGCTTTAACCGCATTTAACTTTCGTAAATAAACTTAAAACAGTGCACCTTTTCCAGAGGCCAAAAACAAGTTATAGCGCAATGAAATATACCTTAAAATTGACGTATGAAATCTTGAACTTGTAGGCTTATCTGAATTTCAATAAGGTAATCATCCAATAGAATAGTTCAATAACCATAACAGTTGACTGCACACTATTAGGCGAAATGTTTGGGCGTCTCATCAAGCCTGAAATGTCCCTGTATATATCAGTGGGGATAGTGTCAGACAAAAGCCAGTACCATGAAAGACACGTGACGCCCACAAAAAAAAAACAGCAAGTGAAGTAAGTAGCAAATTCGAGCAATAAGAAAATAACCGTTAGAGAAGGAGGTCTAATAGAAAGGTATAAGAAAGCAGCTGGCATTTTCTGTGCCTTTCTCAAACTAGTTTAAATGCATTGCACTGTTTGAGTGTAACAAAAGGCGATATAAATAATGCATTGCAATATGGTATAATTGAAATTATCAGAAGAACTAAAGTAATCAACCGAGTTCACATAGCGTTCTAGTGTGTCACTCAATATTTTATACACGTTATACTAGAATCACTGGGTCGCTGCTGCATTAACAAACCATTACTATAAGGTAAAAGCCATCTTCCTAATATTCTCAGCTAACCCACGAAGGAGCTGAAAACACGATTCTTGGCTTCACGGGCCACTGATAAACCACCTCTTCATTTTTTCTCTTGCCATCGCATGCTTCTCGGTCTTCTTCGGCGCCCGAAATGGATGCTAGGACAACATCGCATGGTCTTAAGTCAGATGACATCTTGACAAAACTTCTTCATCGCGACGTCATATAGTTTAGTCATTATATAATAACCATTTTTACGTCCCTCATACATGATGTCATGAGACGTACGCTACTAACGGTAGAATTTCTAATTGGTTACGACATCTTAGAGTTTTCTCCTAATTGCTCAAGACATCTTAGACCTTTCTCTGAATGATCGTATTGCTGATGGTATATACTATGATTTATGCCCAATAACCTACAAGATAACTGTTATAGGGGACAAATTGTTTCACACAAAATTTTATGATAATAAAATGTAGTGAAAACGCTATAACTAGGTATAGTGGGAGTAAAAAGTTATATTCTAACGAAACTTCCAGGGCTTAAAAAAAAGAATAGCACGCAGAATTTTCACACGAAGTCAAATATATAGCAGTTAGACATCTAGAGAAAATTAGCCAATAGCGCAGCGCAGCATTTTCTCTTTCGCGAAGGTAAATACATGACACACACACTTTTGAAATTGGCAAATACTTGGGGCATGACAATATAAGAAGGATTGTACCGATAATATTAACTTCCGATGTTTACCAAGCAATATAGCTCTGTATGCAGTTGGGACCTACTTGCATTCAATTTCGGCACAACGGTGCTCAAGAGGGTATTATATAACCATAGGAAATTTTGAACTTGACTAACATCACTCACTTTAACACAAATACCTCTTAGATTATGACTAAAATTGTCGACGTTCCGTATACCCAAGATCAAGAACTGAATTTTGCATTTCGCTTTCGGTTCCGTCAGTCCAGGAGAAATATACAAAATTTATTGCATATTGGCTGCAAATATTTAAAAGTAAACTTAACGCTTCTAGAAAAATACAAGAATGTTGTACGTACAGCACATCAGAGTCCAAGAAACACGCCACAGTGCGCTGGGAACCATTTAGTGATTTCGCCATTAGCGCCGACTCGATGCACTTGCAGTCTGTATGAACCCTATCTTCCTCCGACACCATCTGTAGGTATATGACGCCGTCATTCTCGAGGAACTGTGCGAAGAAGAATAGCGTAATATCAGAAAAGCAGGATTACAGTATTATAGTTCCCGAACTAAACACACGCACATACGCAATATGCATATACTTCGGAGGAGCAAATTCGTTAAAGCAATATCAACAAATTGAATGCTATTCGAAGGAAAGCTATGAGGTAAATATTTAGGATCCATTTGCTCGTAACGCCATTCAATTCTGATGTTTCTCAGGTTTAATTATACGTGACACAATTCCAACAGACTGGAAAAAAGTTTCAAAAGCATAGAAAATTTAGGTTTTATATTGATTTACGCCAACTCGTGTCTGCCCACCATAATAAGTAGCAAAACGCCAGTCTAATTTTAGTTAATTCGGCTGTGGTAATTCAGTGCAAATATCTAACAATAATAAAACTATTGGTGTATCTATGTATAAAATGTACCCAAGATTTCCAGACTCTCCTTTCAAGTCACGACAAGAGATCATGGTATAATGTTACGTAATACTATTTCCACGCAATTATCTGAGCGATTGTGCCCCGCCGCGGTGGTCTAGTGGCTAAGGTACTCGGCTGCTGACCCGCAAGTCGCGGGTTCAAATCCCGGCCGCGGCGGCTGCATTTCCGATGGAGGCGGAAATGTTGTAGGCCCGTGTACTCAGATTTGGGTGCACGTTAAAGAACCCCAGGTGGTCGAAATTTCCGGAGCCCTCCACTACGGCGTCTCTCATAATCATATGGTGGTTTTGGGACGTTAAGCCCCACAAATCTAATCTATCTGAACGATGGTGAAGAGAAATTCTTGACTATTCTAAAGTAGAAAGCTCATGTTTTTTATTTTTTATATCAACGCTTATAGTTACGTAATTGCTTCTGTATTGAATTAAAATGGTGGCGAAGAAGGTGGATCATTTTAAGGAGGCTGAAGGGCAGAGAAATTTGGAGAATAAGGACAGTGATAACCACGAGGAAGTGGTTAGGAATGAGACGCCAAGGGGCAAAGCATGTGCACATAAATGATGCTTCTTGTGTAATCGACAAAGACAGACAGACAGACAGACAGACAGACAGATGCACTCGGCCAGCGGATAATTCATGGTTTGCCGATAACACCCTTCGAAGCTTCGCCCCAGTTATCATCATGCAATCTGTAGTTATGCTGGGATCGTTTAAGTGCATCTAGACGACAGAACAAACCGCTCTCTCGACCCGTGGCCCCATCATCACGTGACCTTCCAGTTCCGGTCGGGGGAGTCCGTAGCTTTTCACGAACGGCCCACCACTGTACATTTTCACGAGCGGCCCACCGCTGGCCTTGGCGGCAGGCCGCTCGCTTGGACGGTTGGAGTGTCACCGAGAGAAGTTTTTTTATTCTTCTTTTCGGCAGCTGAGTACGCCGGAGGCATCTCGAACTTGCGGGCTCTCTTTGAAGACGCGCGTACGGCGACATTTGCGGTTGAAGCTACCCTAGGCCCATGCTTTCTCCCTCCCGTTTCCGATTGCGCGTTTGTATGTGGCAAGCGGATGGGCCATGGGACTTCGAAGGTGGAAGGTTCTTAAGCCGTCGTTCGTGCGTCCACTATGTATGTAATAAAAGTAGTAGTCGTAGTAGTAGGTAGCCACCTCCAGGGCCGTATCAGAGGAACAGCACGCGCACACTCTTTTGGATTGAGAAAGAAACCCGCGCACGTTAATCATAAATAAAAGATAGTTGTTTCCGACGAAGTACCCTACAGAGACTTGTATCTGTGACATATTCTGCAGTAAAGGTGGCCTTGAATTTGATGCTTATTGAAAAAAAAACAAGTAACAGAAGAGCGCACAATAAGCAATATCTGACCAGAAACGGTTGCTATGTAAAAGTCGCTGGGCGTAACCTCCTTGGTTTTAGGAAGGTTTAACGAAGTTTCGGCCACAGTGCCACGAACTAGTGGTGGTGAAAGTTGGGAACTAGACACGAAGCACTGGCCATCAGAGAGTGCACGCGTGCCGCTACTCCAGTCCGAACATGCCACCTCTTGTTTAGCCCTTAGAATGTCCGTTGTATGGTGGTACTTCTATAACAAGAATAAATGATGAAACGATGTGAGACGACGGTACTTGGAGTGTTCACTAGATGGACGGGTGGTTGGACAGATGCGCGGACGGGTGGAGGGACAGAGAGACTGACAGATGCACAACGGACGGACAAACGAACAGATGGTGGGAAACATAGACGGACGGACGCACGGATGGACGAACGGGCGCACGGACATACGCATAAACGGGGGGACTGGGCGGATGGACGCACGGACAGATAAATGGACGCATAAACGGACATACGAAAGGACGGACGGAACGCATGGACGGACTGAAGGATGGATGTTTCGCTTCACCGTCATTATGCACTTTGAGGATATGCTGTATTTGTTTACTGTCAAGTGACTAGGCCATCCGCTGGTCAGTCCGTCGTCTGAATACACCATTAGGGGCAAAGTTCTTTAGGCTGCGAGTCCTGCGTCCCTGATGTATAATGTAGTACAGTCGTGGTCGTAGTATTATGTAGCCACCTTTTGTTTAGTGCTTGGAATGTCCGCTGGATGGTGGTATTTCTATATAATGAATATATGATGAAAAGATATAATATGGTGATACTTGTAGTGTGGGCTAGATGGACGAACGGACGGATAGGCAGACGCATTTGTCAGATGAACGGATGCACGTACAGACGAACGGATGGACCGACAGACGCACAGATGGTGGACGCACAGGCGGATGCGTGGACAGACGCATGAAAGGAAACATGAACGGAGGCACAAACGAACGCACTAAGGCACGGATGAACCCACGGACGAACGCATGGATGGACACACAGACCAGTGGAAACACGGGCGGACTGATGGACGCTAAGCCCCACTCATCATCAATAAACAGGTTTAGTTGCGTGTCCGCAGCAGCCGTGTGGACGCAGCTTCCCCTTGCGAATGGCTGGTAGGCTACGTTTGAATGGCTGCTGCGGATTCGCAACTAAATCTGTGAATTCACTCCATGGATATTGTGTAATTTTGGGGGAAAATATTTTTTAAAGAGGTGCCTGATGTGATGAGTCAATGAGAGACACGAGGCACACGCCGTATGTTTAAAAAGCGCGGCGACGGTGCCCAAGAAAGGAAAAAAAAGCCCCCACTTTCCCGACAGAAATGTTAAGATGGAAACATTTTATTAAACAAATAAAAAAACTGGGATGGTCTCTATATTAGGACACCTATGGTAACCTCCGCGACAGCCCAGGCTCTGAGATTGAGGGCCCGGTAGACCTCGGGGGTGCCATCGCGAAGTTTGCCTTCCCACTGCTCTGGGGTACGGGTGTACCGATAGATTAGATGGAGTGGAGGGAAGTAGATGGCAGAGCACTCTACGTTAAAGTGAGAAGTTTTGAGGATAGCGCCACAGCCTGGACAGGCATCGGTAATACGAGTCGGGTAAATTTTATGCAAGAAGTGGTGGTTCAATGAATGTTCAGGTCTGCAGTTGGTGAAGTGCGACAGACTCCTTGTATATCAGTCTATTGTTGTTGTCCTATGTAATGTTGTGTGACTTCGTGATATGTGAGAATTAAGTGGGGAACCTGGCTCTGTGTTGGCCACCTCACTGCGCGGGGCTACTCGAAGGTTGAGGTCTCGGGCAGCCGCATGAGCACGATCATTACCCGAGAGTAAGGCATGGCCAGGAGTCCAGAGAAGATGTATGATGTGGATATTGTGTGAATAAACTTTAGATGTGCGTGAGAGAATAGAATGCGAAGTTAGGTAATACCGCCGACATTTTAGTAGAGGCCTACATGCCACTTGCAAATTGGTGAGTATGTAGTATGTTGTATTGGGGAGGCACAAGGGGTGTTGGATCGCCAAGGTAATCGCTACGATCTCGCTCGAGTCGGTGGCTGAAGATGGGAGAGAGATTGAGGCAGCACTTACAATCTCATGAATGCCGCTAAGTACCACCGCTGTGTGTCCGTTTGTCGTGAGAGCCGCGTCCTTGTAGTAGACCCTATTCTCCTAAACGTCGCTGAAAGCGCTTCAGAAATCTCAACCATGCCCTCCGATGTTACGCTCAGGGTGCATGTTGCGTGGCAGGGGATGTCGCGAAGCATTCAAGCTATTTCGAGAGGCATGGAGGTTACCTGCGTTTCCGAAGAATAATGGGGAGCTGGGTAGCCCAGGCAGTAGAGTACGCGTCTATCCGTTGGTTTGAAAAGGACGCGTTAGTACTGACTAATCCACTGCGCTTCGAGTACTTCATCGAGGGTGTTGTGCACTCCAAGTGTGATAAGGCGCTGGGTAGTAGTGCTGCGGGATGCCCAAAGTGACCTTGATGACCTTATGAATGAGCGTGTTCATCCATTCATGTTGTCCATGGGTTAAGCGGCGAAATGGAAGGTGACCAATGAAGCGACTTACAATGAACGCGTCCACTAGTCGAACCATCCCGGAGTCCCAAGGGCCAACTCCTTACGCGTCGGAACATTATGATGACCAGACCCATCACGCGTGAGAGAAGGGAGATGGTGTGTCGTGCCCCTATCGGCTTCACCGTGAAGTGCAAGCATGCTTGCTCGCTCTGAGAGAGAGGTGTTCCTTCGACGAGTGTATTGATATGAGGCGGGGGATTTTCACTGCGGTCACAAAATACAAAAAGCTCAGGCTTGTTTGAGCCCAAGTGAGGCCACCCCATTGAACATATCCTGACACGACCTCTACCACTTGCTTAAGGCAGTCTTGAATTGCGCTGTCGGAATCCCGCAACGTCCACAACGTGATATCGTCAGCGTAGATGGAATGATGCAGGTCCTCAGCTTGCTCAAGTTGCTTAGGGAGACCTAGCATAACGATATTATATATTGCTGGGGAATTCACGGCTCCTTGACGGTTGCCTCTGCCTGGTAGGTGGATGATACTCGAGCGATGCCGGCCTATACCTATTGTTGTGGTACCATCACAAAGCAAGGCTCTGACATAGTTATAAACGGGAACGCTCT